TAACGTAACCCTTAACCTAACGCTAAACCTAATGCTAACCCTTAACCTAACGCTAAACGTAACCCTAACACTCTAAACCTAACCCTAGCCCTTAACCTAAACCTAAACCTAACCCTTACCTTTATGTGAATCGGCTTGCTTTAATTTTAATTTTATTTCAATTTTTAATTTTTTTTCGTCGCGCTGTGATGACGTCACATGCGCGCTTTCGTCGAGCGCGATTTTGTCCTCTGCGGTTTTGACGGGTCACGCTTGGCAGCTTGTTTTAACACAGAAGTTTCTTTCCATGTTGCTTTATAGCTTTTCCCCAAATATTCTTCCATTTTTTCCCCCCGACAGAAACAAATTGGAGGAGCATGATGGAAACCTCGGATGGTTTGGAAGCCTCTGAAAACGAAAGAGAAGCGGCGTGCAAGGTTACTACTTCAGAAAAAACCGGCACCCCTAATGTCACTGCTGGTAAGCCCTTATCTCTAGCCGCCGTTGGCCTCATCGCCGTGGTGTCCCCGGCAAAACCCCTAAGCGGGAAGGAGGAAGCAAAGCCAGACGACAACCTGGAATGGGCCTCCCAACAAAGCACAGACACCGGATCTTTAGATGGCAGCTGCCGGGACATATTGAATTCTTCCATGACCAGTACAACCAGTACTCTTGTGCCAGGGATGCTCGAAGAAGACGAGGAGGAGGAGGAGGAAGAGGACGAGGAGGACTACGCCCACGAACCCATCTCCGAGGAAGTTCAGCTCAACAGCAGGATCGAATCGTGGGTCTCCGAGACTCAGCGGACTATGGAAACCCTCCAGCTCGGAAAGACCCTCAGCGGGGCGGAAGACGAGACCGTGGAGCAGAGCGAGGAGGAAGAATTGGAAGCCCCCGGGCAAGCCGAGGCGGTTCCCGAGAGCGAGGAATGGACATCAGACAAGGCTACGAGTAAAGCCCAACAGAAGCCCAACCCCGGCACTCCGCTCGATTCAAAACACACAGACTCAAATTATATGCCATGAACTTTAAGTCCAGACTCAGGAAACTTTTACTATTTAAAAAAAAAGAGAGAGAGAGAAACTAATTGTTGTAAGGATTGCAGCCATCGCTTCGTGTGCTTCATCTCGGCATTTTGCACTGTGTAACATTTAACACCCGTATTTAATTCACCCTTCTTTTTTTTTTTGTAGCGGTCTTTATCACTTCTCCGTCGAGACCTGAGGGTTTGCATGTGTGATTAATAGTTATATCTTTTCTTAGAACAGGCTTACGTGTCGCTGAGCATTTTTCTTTCCCCGTACGAGGAAACTCTTTGCACTTGATCATTTTTAAAGGCAAAACTCTTCTCAAACCGGGGGGGAAAAAAAATCCTTACCTATTTTTAAAGCGTTGACAGTATTGACCAATATTGGCTTGCCATGAACTTCTTTGGGAAGTATTTGGCCACTGTGTACCTAACATTAAGCCGGAATGAGTTCTTTCTTTTTTGCTCAGACTGTTAAAAGTGACTGTAGTCAGAATGTGTTCTGAAAAAAAAAGGGCTAGAAGGATGTATATGAATTAACTAGTGCACCTTCTTAGTAGTATTTATAATATTCGTTTAACTAATAACACTCCTAAAGGCTGGTTGCAGTTGGCTTCAAACCATTTTGGCTAGGTACTTTGGTGAAACGTCTCTCAGCAGGTAGTTTGGTAATGATGTACCTGTCTCTACTTTCCAACTGACATTGTCCACATCATCACTTGGCCCGCAAGCCAACCGCCAAAAGGGACCTGTGGACCAACACAAAGCTTCCCTTGCTTGGTTTTCTTGATTTCCACGCTGTTTCGCCGTGTTCTGCTTCTTAATGCTTTCACTGATCTCAGGAATGTTACTACGAGTTCATAACATGCTGTGTAAATAGAAGAAAAAGTTAGACCATTTAATATAAAATGAAATAGGAGGGGGAGATATCAGGGGGAGGTTGGTTGAGAAAAGGGAAGGGAAGTTGTTGTTTGGATCAACTTACTTTTCCCCCCCTTGGGATTGGTCTTGATGGGTAGATGTAATCTCTGGTCTTCCAACCGCTTGTCCCGTTGGGAAGCAAATTTTCATAAGCGCGGGAGGTAGAAGTGGCTTTCTGGTAGGGAAAATACCCTTTGTTTTGTGGAATTTCAGAGCGGGTGAGACCAAAAAAAAGGCTTGTTTTTAATGACTTGCTTAAGTTTTGCAGGCCTGTTCGGAGTTTTCTAGCGCTCAGGTCACCAAACCAAGTCGCATAAGGGCGGGATTGGGAGGAAGGTGGGGTGAGACAGTGATGCTTTCGAGGTGGGTGCAGGAAGACGAGCTTTATGGAAAAGACGGACCTCCCCAGCCTTGTAAAATATTTCATAGGTCAGTCGCTCTCTTTACAATTCGGGACCAACAAGTGATCACATTTGAAGCTAGTGTCTTGTCTTCTAATTAGAAAAAACCAGAGGAAGCGTTTGGCAATTGTGTGTATGTGGTTGCCTATTGCTAAGGAGCGTAGCAGAAAGGAAAAGTTTGAACAATTAGCTCTTGTACGTGGAATTAGTATATGATGAATAGGAAAAGGACAGGTGGCGAGTCGCATCCCTTGCTCGATTGTCCATAAGTGGAAACTTCTTCCTTTCAAAGTGCTGAACAGCCAAATTGACTCTCCCTTCAGTAGATGTTACCTTGAATGTCTGTCTCCTTTCCAAGAACCTGGCTTGTCCCTTGCCAGTTTACATAAAGCCCCCTGCCCCACCCACCCCCACACACACCCTCTTCCCATTGTTATCGCTTTCAAATTCAGTCCAAGCATTCTGGTTTGACTCTCAGTTGGGACGTCATGTCCGAACACACCGGGACAAACAGCGTTATCATTGGCTGAAAAATCCGTACTTTATAAAGTGTTCATTTTGGAGAGGTGTCCAGAGAACCAAGTTGAGGACAGAACGTGTCTATGAAAGTGTCTTAGATTGTACTCCGTGTTTAACGTGCTTCCTTGTCTTCTGTCTTCGTGAGATGTTAACGTTTCTGTTCATCCTTTCGATAGCCCATCCGTCGTCCTCCGTGTTCCTTCTCCATCACTTTTAACGTCCATACGGGCAAAAACGGATCTTTCTTACAAATGGGGAGGGGGATGATGGCGGGCCTGTTTCTTCAGTTTTATTGGGGCCGAGCTCAGCAATGCTTCTTCTTCCTTAAAATCAGTTTAATTTCACTAATGGCAAAAGAGGAAAAGGGCAGGAGGGGGGGGGGGCACCACGTCGGATGGGTTAGAGCAGTGTTTCTCAACCTTGGCCACTTGAAGATGTCTGGACGTCAACTCCCAGAATTCCCCAGCCAGCATTCGCTGGCTGGGGAATTCTGGGAGTTGACGTCCAGACATCTTCAAGTGGCTAAGGTTGAGAAACACTGGGTTAGAGGAACTAGTCCAAAGCACTTCCAGTAGTTGCATTAAAAAAAGCTGCCACCAGGCAGCCAGAGAACACAAAGTGGGGCTGATGCACTCACGTCTGTGGAGAGCCAAAATAATAAAGAATTTGGGGGTCTGTTGGTTAATTGTAACATGTATGCCTTTATCGTAAGAAAACCGATTATAGTACTTGTATTCCTCCCCTGTTATACGCCCCGTTCCCCAGCTTACGTTTTAAATGGCATGTTTTTACAAACTTTTTTTTTTTGAGATTTGATCAGTGATTGGTGTAGTGTTTGATCGGCTGTTGGGGTTTAACAAATTTTTGGGGAAAAGATGCTTTTGAACGATGCACTTGTATGTATTCCGAACACATCACTAGGAGGCAACCTTAGATTCGTCTTCGGGTGGGCCTATGCAGTGTAGCTCTTAAATTTTAACGGCACGGGGAGGGGGGAGGAGAAGGAGGGAAGGGGCAAAAAAAAATAAGGTCTCGTTTGAAAAGCTGCTGTCTATTGAAATCGTTGTAATGTGTGTTTGTGTGTGCGCGCGCGTGTGTGTGTGTGAGAAATTGTGCCAATTAATCAAGATGCTCTGTCAATTTACCAGATTTTAATCACTTAACGGAACACTTTTTAAAATAAGCAAAGAGCCATGAATGGAAATTGTACAGCTTGGTGCCCAGTTCAGTTCCTACACAAAAACAATAAATCTTAAAACAATAATTTGAAAAAGGAAAAAAAAATCAATATAAGGGGCACAGCCTAATTAAATGTTTATATGTGGTTAATGTACTTTTAAAGACTGTACTTGGGTAATGCCTCTTAATCTTTGATACCTGTACGCTAAACGTCAGTAACATCTAAAGTTTAAATTAGAAAGGGGGGGGGAATCGTAACTAAATTACTCCATGAACATGTTCTGTCTGTGTTCTCCTTTTTATGAAGGATAATTCTGTCTACCATACTTTTTTGGAATAATAACAGCTTTTGCACTATGTAAATACTAGTGGGGGATCTTCCACAATGAATAAAGATGATTATAAGAAAAAGTGAGATGGTATTTATATCCAGCGGTTTGACTGTATATTAATATTCTGCCTCAGCGTCAGAATGCCATTTTCTGAAGATGAGTGTTCTTTTCTGAGGAGTTTTTTTTTTTAATTATTACCGTACTTTTCAGTTTATAAGATGCACCGGTGTATAAGACGCACCAAGATTTCGAAGAGGTAAGTAAGGAAAAAAAAGTTTTTGCCTTCCATCAGTCCCCAGCAGCCCTCTGCAGGATTCAGCAGGGGTTAGGGAAGGCAAAAATGCCCCCGTTTTTTCCTTGTCTCAGCCCTGCTGAAGACTGCAGAGGGCTGAGAGAAGGCAAAACCTCCATTTTTGTGAAAAACAGGCCATTTTTGCCAAAAATGGGGTGTGGGAGCAGGGCTTCAAGAAGCCAAAAATGGCTATATTCGGTGTATAAGACGCACCAACGTTTCCAAGCTCTTTTAGGGAGGAAAAAGGTGCGTCTTATACTCTGAAAAATACGGTAGGTTTTATCCTGTCTTTTTTGAGGAGGGTGAGGAGTGGAAACATAATACAGTACTCCTTTCTCCTCACCTCTGTGCACAACAACAATCTTGTCAGGTGGGTTGGGCTGAGAGAGAGGTCACCACCTCCAGCTGAATTTCATGCCTAAGGTGGAACTAGAACTCACCATCTCCTTGTTTTTAGGCCAGTAGCACCTTAATCACTACATTAGTCTGGTTCTCATATATATTACACATTATGGGGATTTTAAGGGACGTGATGGCTCAGTGGCTAAGACGCTGAGCTTGTTGATCAGAAAGGTCGGCAGTTCAGTGGTTCGAATCCCTAGCGCCGCGTAATAGAGTGAGCTCCCGTTACTTGTCCCAGCTTCTGCCAACCTAGCAGCTCAAAAGCATGTGAAAATGCAAGTAGAAAAATAGGAACCACCTTTGGTGGGAAGGTAACAGCATTCCATGCGCCTTCGGCATTTACTCATGTCGGCCACATGACCCTGGAGACGTCTTCGGACAGCGCTGGCTCTTTGGCTTTGAAACGGAGATGAGCACTGCCCCCTAGAGCAGGAAACGACTAGCACACATGTGCGAGGGGAACCGTTACCTTATGGGGATTTCCTGTTGTACACGAGGCCTTTGAATCTGTTCCAGGGCCGTTGCTAATTTCTAGCTCAACTACAGTGGATCCAAGATTGCAAAAAGGAGAGAAACTTTCTAAGCTTAAAATTACAGAACTTTGGGGGCTGCACGTTTCCCCCACTCCCCCAGGGGCAAGAAATTTTAGTAACTAGCCCTCTATGCACACAGGAGAAAGATAATTTAGGAGCAGCGATTGCTCCTTATTCTTTTTGCCCAGCACGCTGTGTATTTCACTTTCAAACCAAGCCAGCATTGATCTGGTTTCTCGGAGTGGGGGAAATTAACACGATGCGCCTGCATGTTCAGTAAAGAGATTTATTGTCCCCCGTTCCATGACCGTTTCTTGTGTTCCTTCCCTGGTTCCTGCAACTTTTGGGTCCTGCTTAAAAAGGCCTATTTCCAGACATTTGATAGCCTGCAGCATCTAAATGCAATCTCCCGTATGCTTTCCCTTAATCGTAGCAAGCAATAGACTCTTAAATGCCACCGAAGAATGATAGCATGGCTATTTCAGCTCGGCAGGCTCTGGCAATTAAGTCCCTGGATTGTAACCCACAGCTCGCTATCTTTGTGAACCCAGTTAATTAGGACTTAATCCACAAAGAGCCATCCTGGGGGGGGGGGGGGTGTAGGTTGAAGTAATTGCTCCTGTTGGCTTTCCCCTTCCCATCCCACTCTGGGAAAATACAGTGTAGTTGAGCTGTTCACGTCTATCACCCGGAGAAGTAGTAATTCAAAGGCAATCAGCAGGAAGGGAAGGCTGTGCAAAGCCTTTTTTTTGTGATAATATAACAGCTGAATGAGGGACAGGAAGTCTCTGATTGCAATAAATATTGCTCTTGGCTTCATTAAAAAAAAAAAAAGCTGCACGGTGAAAAAAACCAGCAGCTCTCAAATCCCCACCCCCCACACCAAAAAAAATGCCAATAAGCACGTTGCATTCCACTTGGCAGCAAGGGAAACTTTTAATGTATGTATGTTTCATCAGGAATCCGCCTTCTGGTGGAGCAGGCGAGCGGAATCTAACGTGATTCTGGTCTCCTGCATCGAGCAGCACCCCTTCGGTGGTGACAGCAGCACATGCCTCCTGATTCTCCTTCCGCCCCTCACTCACAAGGCAGCAAATGTGACTGCGGTGCCTCTCACCCACACGCTGAGAATTAACATGAGAAAAAATGCATGTGATGGCGAGGCCCCCTCCACCCTTCCTGGGAAGAGGGAGGTCGGCGAAACCTATTCTTGCACGGTGCAAACGTGCATTGTTTGGCATAGTTTTGTTTCTACAGCTTTTGGGGAGAAGGGGAAGACAATCTTTTGTTCTAGGGCCAAATGCATTTGCAGCCGGGCAGTGTGTTGGAATCCGGCACTAAACCACTCCAAACTCGATTGCAGAAAATACGACTTCAGCAACAGAGTGGTCAACGCCTGGAATGCTCTACCTGACTCTGTGGTTTCTTCCCCAAACCCCCAAAGCTTTAACCTTAAACTGTCTACTGTTGACCTCACCCCATTCCTAAGAGGTCTGTAAGGGGCATGCATAAGCGCACCAGCATGCTTACCATCTCTGTCCTACTGTCCCCACTTATTCGTCTCCATTTCCTGTATTCATAATCATGTTTATGCTTGTATCTGTTATCTTATACGTGGTTGACAAAATAAATACAATTAATTTAAAGTCCATCCAGGAAAGACTATTTCCAAAGGAAATAAACAAAATGGACTCTTATCCCTCCCAATATAGCAAGACTTCCTGACTGGTTTTGGGGTTGTCCGTATGTCCCCCCTCCCACGCCCCGCCCT